TCCCACCATGATATCTGCCTTGTTGGCCTTCCCCCTGATTCTTACCCATAAACACTCAACCCTATTATCACCATCATCAAGCTCTAGACAGTCAAAATACTCCCTAACGTACAGGGCTACCCCACCACATCTCCTTCCTTGCCCATCCCTTCTGAAGAGTTTATAGCCATACGTTGCAGCACTCCAGTTGTGCGAGTCATGCCACCATGTTTCTGTGATTGCAACTATATCATAGTTTTCCACCCCTCCTGTTTGCTGTCCAAGTAATGTCCAGACATACAAATTAAGCTGTAAGAGAAATCTGTATCCAGTCATGATACTATAGTGGTGAAATTAATTATGGGCTGACAATAATTCAAAGTACTTTTACTGTTTCACTGAAGGCAACTATAAAGCAACCAAAATGGCAACTTCGCTTTGCTGCACAAAGGGTTCACAAATACTAGTAAGTTAAAATTGGTGCCTTTCTCTTCACTGTCACTGTTTTGCCAGAAAGTTACAATTTTGTCATTTAAGCAACACTCGGCTGGACCTCGCTTTCCTGGTTTCACTAGAGTAATATGTTTTCTTTTCTGTACAAACAACATCTAAGGACTGAGCAGCAGCTGCCCCTCAAAGACTTAACCAGAGGAACATTAACAATAAACACAGTAAATTAACAATAAACAGTAAACACAGTAAATACTGTACTTTTTCCTAAATGCTCCACCAAAGCCCCAACAAAACTCTTGCAAACCAAAGCACACCACCATAAACCAACAGTATCTCTAACCTAATACGTTCCTGGGTGGCTGCCCTATGCATTTTTGTGAGATAACAGTAGAGGAATTGCAGGACTACTGCACCTCTAAGATACAATTTAAGACTTGGGGCACCAATACAGAAAAATTTGCAAGAAAAAAGATGTTGTAAACCCTGTTTGACTAAGTTATCCTCACGATCATTAAGATGACAAGTGTTCATTTGCGGTCCTCTAAGAACTAAACTATATTTTGTTTTCTTCAAACACAAAGATGGTATTTTCTTGTTAAAAAGACAAAACCCAAGCATCTATTACAAATCCTTAACTATCATCCACTGAAAGACTGTCACACTCCTGTTTCAGGCAGCTGGTAGTTGGGGTAGCTTCAAAAGCACACGGTCTCACACTCATCTGAGGAAGACTGGTAATCTGTAGAACTGGACTGGCAGGAAGGTTTCATAAATCTCAGCCCAGCACACAGTCCAAATGGAGATTATCCTTTTCTATTCTGCATCACTTAGACATTTCCCGCAGAAAATGTTCTCACTTATTGCCACAGAGACATGTAATGACTATGTACAAAATCCTGATTGAGAATTTTCCCATATTTATTTGATTAAAAAAATAAAATACTTATACTGTGACGTTTTTAGATTCTCCACCAT